CTTAAAATGGGCTTGAAATCCTCTGGGGTTTCCCCACATGGGTTCAAGTCCTGCTCACAGAAGGAGTTTTACTGTCAGTCCCTGTGCCCCTGGCCCCAGGAGGGACAGACAGACACAGGGCAGTCACACTCCCTCGAGGGGACCCTGTGCTCCCATCCTGCCTCTGGCCCCGATCTCCAGGGACTCTTTACCTTTAGGAGGTGGTCAGGAGGGTGTTCAGAGGAGCAGCCCTGCAGCTCTTCTTATCACAGGAAGAAATCCTGCAACAGCATGTCCCCTCCCCATACAGCCTTGTCACCCTGCTCCCAACAGCTGTGTGATACTGTTTCCTGTGGATGTGTCACCCTGCTTTCCACCTGCTGTCACCCTGCTCCCTACAGAGGTGTCACCTTGCTTTCTATAAATGTGTCCCCTGCCTTCTGCCACCCTTTGCCCAGCTCCCTGCAGCCGTGTCCCCCTGCTCCCAAAAGCCCATCACCCTGCTCCCTACAGCCATCCCTCTGCAGTGACAGACTGAACTTTGTTACAGCCCGGGGATTTATTGTGGCACTGACAGCCAGAGACTAATGCGTCAAATGTTTTAAAGAGATAAGGGCAAAGGCTGATAAGAAGCAGATCCTGGAGGGGCAGGGTAATGTTGTTTATCATGCCAATTCCCTCCCTTCCAACGATTCCTGACTGGCACAACAAAGCATTTGGGAGATTTGGGAGGAATGGGGCCGAGCCGTGGCCATGGCGTTAGAAGGGGACATAAACCACCCCAGTGCCCAGTATTGCATCAGACAGTGTAAAACCCCTCCCCGGGTCAGCATGGGGGCATTGGCTGTGAGCCCCCACATCCCTGTCACACCCTGCTCCCTACACCCCACCACAGGGGCATTGCCCCACTGGCAGCTGCTGCCTGATGGCGCTGCGAGGACGGGAGGCTGCTGCCACCCCCCAAAATCCGTGCCACCCTGACCCAGCCCCACACACTGGGAGCTTTTGAACCCTGAACTGAGCTCCAGGAGCTGTTCCAGGACAGCACAGCCACCCAGGAAAAGACTGGGACCTGTGGTGGCTGCAGGAACCCCTTCCCTGGCTGGGAATTGAACCCAGGCCGCAGCAGCGAGAGTGCCAAACCCTGACCATGGGACCACCAGGGTCACTCCTTGGTGACCACCAGAGATGAGTGGCCAGCACTAGGATGACCTGCTGCTGGCATCAACCAAGCCGTGAAGGGACAGGGACACTTGCTCCCCGCAGTTAAAGGAGAGCACCAGAGAGGATGGATGTCACAGCCTTTCTGGGAGAATTGGCAGGGATGCCTGTGGCTTTGGGAAGCCCCTCTGTGCAGGGGGACCCCACCTCTGTAGGCCAGGGAAGCAGGAGATGGTAGTGCCATGACTGACCACCCCTGAAGGCAGGTTTGGGGAAGGCAGTGACAGCACATGGTTCAGAAAAAAGTGTAGCATCCTCTGGAGGTTCACCAGGGAGGTTTTCCTGCTGCTACTGGATCATTGCCCCCTGTGCACTGCCAGGCTCATGTGACACACACCACCCTGGGCACAGTGTCATGGACACAACAATACTGACCCCCAGTGCACAGCCCGAGCTTCCCCAGAGTCACCTGGGAGAACAGCAGTGCAGGGACAGGCTGAGTGTCAGCACGGCCTTTCCCGGGCAAGGGAAAATGATCTGAGCCCTGGTGCTGGGCAGGGAGTGTGTCTGGAGCCCCATTCCTGCCAGTTTTACAGTAACCTCGTCATCCTGTTTGTCTTGAGAAAACAGCTGGTTGGGGCCAGCTTTTGGAACCTAATCTGGAGCTGTGAAGAGCAGGTAACCAGTAATTGATTCTCTTTTACAGAGTCATTAGGGGGAGTAGAGACTTCTGTCTTCCTTTGTCCCACGGAAGGGGCACAAAAAGTGGCTTCCTGATGAACAGGGAGATGGAGAGGGGCAGGAAATGGTCCCCCCACTCCCCAAGGATTTACTACCAGCAAAGACAGGGCATTGCAGAGCTGCAGACCCCCGCCCAGGACAAAAAGCACAAGGGAGAGCCCAGGGCTCCAGGAGAAAGTACAAGTGTCACCTGTGCCTGCAGCTGCCAGCACAGCGGGGCTCTGATTCAAGGGGAAGGAGTACTGACACAGGGGATGGAGTTGCTGGGCTGTGTGCAGGGAGGAGACCCCGCGAGGGGAGCATGGGGGCCTCTCCAGGGCTCCTCGGCTGAGGGGTGACCCGGGGCTGAGGCGGAGGGGAGTGGGAGGGCTCCAGGAACGCTTCCCGTGGAGGACAGCAGAGGGCCCAGCGGTCCTTGGATGCTCGCGTGTGGTTGGGAGGGGAGGTGAATGGACAGAGAGAAAACCTCCCTGGTTTTCAGGTATCGAGGCACACAGATTGCAGAAACCTCCCCGTGCTTTGCCTTGTGCCATGCAGCTCCAAAAAATGGCCAGTGCAGCTCCCGTCTATATCTGAGGCCTGACCCCACCGTGGTGCCCCTCCACAGCCCTTCCATGGCCTGGTCAGAGGGTCCCAGGGGGGCTCTGGGCATCCCCCAGCCCCGGTCCCTGTGGTGCCACCATCTCCCCCCAGGTTCCTCGGCAGAGCCGGGTGGATCCCAGCTGCCACCTTTGCCAACACCTTTCCTTGGGGAGCTGCCCTTCATGGAGGAGAAGGCAAAGGAAGGCAGCTTTGGGGAATGTGGCCTGGAGAAAGGATGGGGCTACAACAAATGACTTGGCATCTTTCCAAACCTCTGACATCTCTGCTCTGAGGGCCAGGGCTGCAGAATGCACCTTCAGAAACCCTGCACAGGGCAAAGCCCCCGAGCGAGGGGCGAGGCTGGGTTATGTGACGATCCTATAGGACTGTGCCAGTCCTTGGGCATGTCTGGGGCAGGGAAGGGGGAGGCTGTGCAGGGCTGAGAAGTCACACCTCGCTGTGAGAGCAATAGTCAGATGTCATGGTTGCGGTTGCCTTTACCAGCCATGACAGAGCGTGAGCTCTGGCTGCCTTGCGGTTGGGAGATCAGAATCTTTCTGTGGTTTCTGAGATCTTGATCTGGCCCTGTCACACATCATGTCACAGGCAGTAACAGTTCCTTCACCTGGCAGCAGATCTGGGAACACCAAACAGTTCATTTGCACACCCCAAGGCAGGACAGTCTCCATCTCTGCCACCTGCCACAGGTGACAGGGAGGTGACACAGCACGGCAGCTGCTTTTTGGAGCCCTTTGCAGGGCCATGTGGCAAGGCAGGTGGGGGACATGAAAATAGATATTTCTACAGGCACTGCTCCTTGGAAAGAGAAATCCCAGCCCCAGGATCAGCCTTGGGGCAGTGGGGATGAGGCTCAGCACAAAATGCAGTTGTTGTTGTGCTGAGAAGATGAGGGTGAGTCCCACTGCCTTACTTTACACCCTACATGGATCTGGGGCATAAGAAATGCTCACATCAATTAGCCAGACCAATTCTGGAATACAATATGGCAGTAGCCATAAATAATCCGTCTCCCCATCTCTGACAGGAAGAGTCCCTTGGCAAATTCCAGCTGAGGTTGTGTCCTTTGCAAAGCCTGAATACCTGCAGCACATTGCTGTGCTGCCCCAAAATGCCAGCACTAAGTGTCTGTGACAACCCCATGATGTCAGGCACTTGGTTCAGCTCCAGCTCCTGCTCATGAAGAGTCCTCAGGGTCCTCAGGACAGCACCTGGATGCCTCCTGGGAGGATGACTGGGAAAAAACATGGGCTCCTGCCCACCCCAGCAGGGTCCCTGGCACAGCCCTGGAGACCCTCCTGCAGCCCTGGTCCCCACCATGGGGCATTGTGGTGGAGGGGACACTGGGAAGGTTCTGAGTGCCCCCACAGACCCATGAGGCCAGGGGGGGAGAAGGAGAATGGCAGCAGAGCAGCCCTTCTCTGCAGCCCTGGGCATGAGGGTCAGTGAGGAAATCTGGGAAACACGAGCTCGTGGCACCTTGTGAGCAGCAGCTGGGCTGGGAAACATCCAGAGGAACCACAGGCTGTGAGCTGGCAAAATGGGGGCCAGTCACAAAGTAGAGAGATGGAAAAAGGGAAATGCTCCCTGGAACATCCTGGGGAACCCGTCATGTCAGGGCCAGGGCAGTGCCAGGGGCCTCTGTGCAGTCCCTGCCGTAACCTCCATGACTGCAGGTGGGCACCAAGGGCTGGGGTCTCTTGGTCCCTCTCAGCTCCCTGGGCTGGGAAAGCTCCTGCTCTGCCCTCTGCATCCCACCTTGAACAAACCCACTGGCGCTTGGAGAAGATGCTCTTTGCAGAGTTAGCCCATCCAGGCAGGACTCCCAGTCCAGCCCAGCCCCTGCTGGGATTGTTGGGAGGGGTTTGGAGGGCACAGCCCCACACTGGAAGCACAGCACTGAGAATTCTGTGCTCGATGGTGCCAAGGCTGCCAACCTGGACCTACAGCCAGTCTCCAGACTGAGTGTTCCTGCTGTCCACGCTGCCCTCACTGACCCCTGTATCCACCCTGGACACTTCCCAGACCCAGCACTGGAGAAGGGACCCCTTGGTGGACCCTGCACCTTCCATTTGAGGTTCTGAGCACCTCTAACCCCCAGACCTGGTTCCTTGAAGATGAGACTGAGCTGGGTCCTCCTGGTGCTTTTGTGGGGATGCTGAGGTGACTTTGATAAGCCGAGTTGTTTTGGATGATGCATGTGAACCTGCTGCTCAAGGGTGGTTTCATATCCTGTCTTGGTCACTGGAGGCTGATTTGCTCACACTTACCTCCCTTCACACAAAGGCTATTCTGCTACTTCCTCAGTCAGCTGTTTCTTTTTTTTTTTTTTTTTTTTCAGTATTTCTGAGGCAAAGGTGCCATGACATCAGCTCTATTATGTTTTGGAAATTCCACGTTTGCTTTCAATTCTGACTGACTGGCCACTGTCCCTATAAAGAGCAAGGACTAAGCCAGCACCTCACAAAAGGCACAGGAGGAACCTGCTCTGATCCTGCCTCTGCTTATCCCTGTCCAGGATGAACATCTCCACACTCTGCCTCTCCATCATCCTGGTTGCTCACCTCTTTTCTCAGGCCCTTCCTGCTCCATGTGAGTACAGCATCCCTCTGCTCTCCTGGGGTGGACTTTTGCTCTGACTGCCTGTAATTTGGAGCAGAACTCACAAAAGTCAGCTGCAAATGTTGGAAACCTGTTTGAAAAACTTCTCCTGATTTATTTCAACTGGTCTTCCTTTATAATATCCTTTTATTTTAGGGATGAATTTTACTGGTATAAAAGTTTTCAGGTTTCCTCTCCCCTCATTTTCTTGCTGGCCCTTAGGAGTGGAGGGTAACAATAGCGATTTTTTACCCTGGATGTTATTGCAAAACATTTAACAAACAATCCGAGCAATATTTTTTTTATCAAGTTTCTCTGTTCACAGCAATTTCTTGCTGATTTTTAGGGAAAACAGGAGGAGAAGGGACAATTCAGCTGATTAAGGAGGTGGTTGGCTGTGCTCTCAGCCAGGAAAGTACAATTTATTGAGTAATGGTCTCAGGCTGGATTTCCTGATCTCTTCCAGTGGGGTCTGACATGGGTTTGTGCTGCTTCAGCTACATCTCACGAAAGCTGCCTCAGAGTCATGTGCAGGAGTATTTCTACACCAGCAGCAAGTGCTCCCAGCCAGCAGTCGTGTAAGTACCAGCCCGGGCCCTGAGGGGAGGCTCTGCCAGCCTCCGGGCTCCTGGCTCCACATCCAACAGGGCCAGGATGCTGTGAGGCACCACACCTGGGGAAGGGAGCAGCCACCCAGGTCCCATGTGCACCCTCCTCAGCTGAGAAATAAATGTCCCTTGCTCTGCTTGGACTGTCCTGATGCTGGGAGTAAGGCATGGGAAGGAGACAGCAGGGCCTTCCAGAGCTTGATGAACTCAATGCACACAACATTCCACACTGCACCCGGGCTCACCCTGTGCACAGGACAAGGGGACAGATATCTGAGCATGGCAGGGTCTCCCAAGGGACCCTGATCTCCCCCTGGGTTTTAGCACACTCTGCAGCTCAAGGATGCTTGAGAGTTTGTGAGAGATGACCCAATAACAGGACCCCAGTCCCTGATGCCCCTTTTCCCCCTGAACTCATGACTTGCCAGGTTTGTGACCAGGAAGAAGCGGGAGATCTGTGCTAACCCTGATGCCAGGTGGGTGAAGGAATACGTGAACAGCCTGGAGCTGCAGTGAGCACTGGAAGCTGAGAAGTCCTGCCAGACCACCCAGGAGAGTTTGGCACAGACCTAGAAATGCTACTGCCAAGCACCAGGACCTGCTGAGCCACCTTAGGACCCTGGAAGTTTGTTTTGCCTTGCAAAGGTGTCATTTGTCCACAATAATTCAGCTACACTTTGGGCAGACATGATGCTGAAGACCTCTTGGCCTTGCAGACCCATCTTGGGGTGCCCTGCTGTGTGATGTGGCTAAACTGAGCCCCACCTTGTGCCTCCACTGCTAGAATGGGAGGGGCATTTCATCCCAGAGATATCGGTGGGTTGGAATTAGCTCTGAGTGCTGTTTTATGAGCCCAGGATTAATTTTCCTACTGAATTTTGTAACGGTGCAATAGATGCTGTGAGTAAGATCTGTCCCTAGAGAAGGAAGTGGTACCCTGGTTACTTACAGGATGCTTGTTGTGGAACCACAGTGTTCAGCCTTATTCTCAAATTGCTGTTTTGTGCTGGTGCCAATGAATAAAGCTGTTTTCTCTCTGTGTCATCACTGGTTGTTCCCCTGCTGTTTGGATAACGGGGACCCCACTAAAACTATTTTTGGGGATGTAGGGGAAAAACCCAACTTCTCAGCTGGAAGTGCCCCAGCCTTCTTAGTCCTAAAAGCCTTCCCTTCTGCTTGGCCTCCCTGATCCCAGCACCACAGCAGCACCAGCCCCAGCACCTCCCAGCCCTTCCCAGTCCCTGCACTTACGTGGAGCCAGAACTTCTTCCCAGCCCTTTCCCCCATCACATAATAGCTAAGGCTGGGAGCTAGTGGGGCTGTGCCACTGCAGATTTGGCAAAGAAATGCCTGGAAATCTCAGGGTGGGGATTCAGGGGTGTCCCTGTGGTGAGAGGAAAGGGGGATGGCCAGGACTACATCCCTGGCACAGGCTCCCTTGGAATGTAGCCTGAGCCAGGGTAAACTCTTGGGATGCTCTGTTAATGTTTATTGCAAGACAAGCACCAATTCACTGTTGTTCTGCAGCTTCCTGGGGCAGGAAACAAGATTTTGTTTTAAAAAGCACAAAGTAAAACCAACAAAAGCATTTTATCAGCCTGCGGTTGACACTTAAAACTGTCGGGTAACTTTGTGGGCAGAAAATGAGACTGCTGGTCCCACCTCCCTGCTGGAGCTCTGCAGAGGATGGGAACAATTCGGGCTGTGTCCCTCAGAACTGGTTATGAGGGACGGAAAACCAGTGTGAGTAAACTGTCTGTAAAGCAGCCCCAAGCCCCGCTGGTGCCACAGTGCTCTGCAGATGCTCAGGTCGTCTCCTGACTTCTCCTTGCTCACCATCACCTCTGCCCAGGGCAGGGGCAGAGTCTCCATCCCTGGAGGAATTGAACAGATGTGTGGATGTGGCACTTAGGGACGTGGGTGGTCTTGGCAGTGCTGGGGAATGGCTGGAGCCACCATCCTGGAGGTCTTTTCCAGCCTTAGTGATTCTGTGGGTCTGGGTGGGTGGACTCAACTGGAGCAGAGCAGGATTGGGAAAGAAAAGCAGAAACAAGGAGAGGAACAAGGCTCAAGCAGAGAGACCTTCGACTTCCCACCAGGACTTGGGCAGATACACAGACCATGTTTGTACTCAGCCTGATCCATCCAGCCCCCACTTTCCACAGGGCAGCACCAAGAATGGGATGTATAAATGGGTGGGTTTAGGAGAAAGGATTCTTGGACGAAGTGGCCAGTGCAAGTTGAAAAGACAGAAATTGCAGAGGCTGAGATGTGAGACCAAGATCCAGCTATCAGTTCTCCAGGAGTAGCAGGGAGATGCCATGCCAGGATGTTCATTATGGGTTTGGGAGCAGTGACCAGCCGGGAGAAAAGGTGGGCACTGGGACTGAGGGTGTCCCTGGCACCTTTCTCCTCCCAGGGCTTCTTCAAGTGAAGCTGGGAGAGAGGGAACAGCCACAGGGTTCATGCTCTCAAAAAGGCCAGAGAAAACCAGGCTATCCAGTGTTTTGCCCATGGGACCATGAAGGTCTTCTGATCTCCAGATGCCTTCTGCCGCTGCAGGCAGGGAAGGAAACATTCCCTAAGTCCAGCAACAGGAAACTGAAACCAGAAAGGCTTGAGAGGGAAATTCCCACAAGTGCCTGGGCACACAGCCAGGGACTGTCCTGAGGGGAGGCAGCTGCAGCACTGGATGATCCAGCCTCTCCAGCCTGTCCCCGCATCCTGGGCATGGGATAAACCCCAGTACTCCCCTCAGCTTCCCTTTCTCGAAAACATCCATCCTCCATCCTCCCTCAGCTCAGTCTCAGAGCAGGGACAATTTGGGGCTCCTGTATTGCTCTGCAGTGCCAAACTTGGGGTTGGGATGTCCTCAGGGGTAGGGGAGACATCCAGCACCCCATTCCTGGGATCTTCACCTGCTCCTGTCCATCCACCAACCACTCTGCCCCACGGTTTCACAGCACAGTGAGGCAGCCACACTCAGGATACACCCCCTGCAGATTTGCACCTCTCCATGTATGGCCCCAGCACCAAATCCTGGGGCACAGAATGCTCCTGGGCTGGGCTGCCCTTGCCTGGGATGCTGCTCCTTGGGTGTTCATCACCCTCTTGACTACAGCCAGCTTTCCTGCCCAGAAAACACAAGACTAGAGAGAAATCACAAGACAATACAGAGGTGCTTTCCCAGCCTCAGAGTTGCCAAATCTGACCTATAACTGCAGGGGAAAAAAATAAACACTAAGAGAAAGCTTGTTTTTTTGCTTTAGGAAGAATAAGATGTGGGCAAGGCTAGGCCAGCTCTGGACTATGCTGTGGGGGCAGTGGAAGAGGGTCTGTAAGAAGAATGGGAACAAAACTTTTAGCAGAGCCTGCTGCTGTAGGTCAAAGAGGAGTGGTATTACACTGAAGGAGGTCTGTTTAGAATGGGCATTGGGAAGAAATTCTCCCCTGTGAGGGTGGTGAGGCCCGGGCACCCAGAGCAGCTGTGGCTGCCCCAGCCCTGGAAGTGTCCAAGGCCAGGTTGGACAGGGCTTGGACCATGAGGGTCCAGTAGAAGGAGTCCCTGCCCACAGGAGGGGTGGAATGAGATGAGCTTTAAGTTCCTTTATACCCAAATCCTTTTGGGATTTCTTCACGGAGTGCAGATGTCAAGGAACTCTGAGCATGATCTCCATGGACAAGGTGTGCCCAGCACCGTGCCTTTCCTGCTCCTTCCCATTCATGTTCCCATGGAAAGCTGCATCCGGAGAACAACTGCAGAACAACTGAACAATCTGCTGGTTGTTTTACCCCTACAGCAAGAGCTGGACCTTTCCCCCTGTTCTACAGGTGGGAAAGTGAGGAACAACCTTCATTGGGGTGGTCAGAATGAAAGGTGGGGTCCCTGTCCCTCTCCAGCACTGCTGGTCTCAATGCTGCACACCCAAGTATCAGTTTGATGTGGGGTGTGTGGGGCTGGGAGCAGCAAATGTGTGCGACGTGCCTGGAAGTGTAGAGAGCAGATTCATGAATGCAAAAGTCCCCCATGTGGGTATAAACACTTCTAATTCTGTAGAGGATGTGGGGACTGGGGGTGTGTGCTGGGGGGGAATGAGGTTTTGGAGGCTGTTCCTGAGTCTGCAGTATGGAAACTTTATGGGTTTGCCTCAAACCATTTCCCATCTTCACGTGTCCTGTAGAGGCTCGGATGGCTCAGAGGTTTGTTCTGTGTGTGCTGGTGAACACCACACAGAGGCACGTAAAAGGGAAAAAGCAAAGGTTTTCTCCAAATTCTTTATTCTCCGGAATCACGGGTTGACATGTATAAACCAGGGTTTCCCATCATCCAACATTGGATCACCCTCCTAGAAATACCTTCCCTGTCACCCCCCTATAAATAATATAATTATTCACATAAAAAAAAAAAGGACTGATGGCCCCACATGATGATTTCTTAAATAACTTCAAATAATCCAACAGCCAAGGTGCAGTTCCACGGGCCTGGGGTTGGGCAGAGGGATGAGGCTGAAGCCTGGTCTGTGCAAGCAAGGATGAGCAGCAGCCCCCAACACAAGGTGCCCTTCCAGCAGTCCCTTGGGGACACCTGCAGATGCTCCTGTGGCTCCTCTTGTCCCAAGGTCCTGCTCCATGGCCGGAGCTCAGGATAACATGACTTGTCCATGGCAGTAGCTACTCTTGCCACACTGCTTCGCTCAGTTCTGCCCCAAAATTCTCAGGTAGCTTCGGACCCAGTTGTTTTCAGGATTGGCACAGACCTGGCGGCCTTCCTTTGTGACAAACCTGTGGAACAGGGATGGGACATGTTAGAGCTCTGCTCACACCTGCTTCCCAGGAGAGCCTGGATCCCAGCTCTGAGCATTGCAAGAAGATTTCCCCTGTGCTGATGCTGAGGGCAGCAGCTGGCAGCGATGCTCCCCACTCCATCCCTTCCCACATCCCTTCCCAGGAGCATCCCTGGGAACCCCCCCACGAGCATCCCCAGCAATCCCTGTGAGAGCCCCTTCTCCTCGGTGTTCCCCTCTCCCTGCTCTGCTCCTACAGCCCCTGCAGTGCAGAGCTGGTCACCCTCACCCCCAGTGCTGTCCCCGTCCCAAGCTGGCACTCACACGATGCCTGGCTGGGGGCAGTTGCTGCTGGTGCTGTAATGGTGCTGGATGAGCCTCCGTGGCAGCTTGTGCTGGCTGTATGTGAAACAGCAGGTTGGGATCTCCAGTCCAGCTAGAAGGGGCAAAGGAAGACAATGTGAGCTCTGGGACCTGTGCTGGCAGGGAAGGTAGTGAGAAATTACAGAATAATTAAGGTTGAAATGGACATTGGGGATCATCTGGTCCAATGCCCCAAGCAGTATCAAGGTGCTGTGAGATTCTCACTCTGCCATTGCTCAGAGCTTCACTTCCACAACTCCTCCAGCCCCAGGGCAGAGGCTGAAATCTCTCAATTCTAACCAGGAATAAGTACTTTGAGCCCAGGTTGGATGGATGGATGGATGGATGGATGGATGGATGGATGGATGGATGGATGGATAGATGGACGGATGGAGGATTTTCTGATTCCAGGGTTCCTACATGCAGTTGATCTCTGGGCAGAGTGAAGAATGGCAAAAATGCTGAAAAATTCCCACTTATCTGTCATGGGAGCTTAATGGAGAAATAATATGGAAGGTTCATATCTGTTCTCCCTTCACCAATGAAAAAGCAGGACTCACCTGGTCCAGAGAAAGTTTGGGAGAAGGAGGCTGAAATGAGGAGAAGAGCCAATCCAGCTGCAGAGACCTTCATCTTTCCGTCGGGTGAGGGCTGTCAGGGCAGGAGCAGAAGCTCTGAACGATGCGGCTCAGTGTGCAACAGCTGGATTCAGCCCTCTTTTAAAAGGGAGTCCTGGAGGCAGCTGGGAGCAGCCGAAATGGAAATTCCAGGATGATGATAAAGGATGACACGAAAGTGAAACAGTTGAAGGGAATTAGAGGGAACAGAAAAAAGCGAGGTCGAATGGAATATGGTCCCTCACAATGCCAAGTGACTCAGCATTCATTTTTGCTTTATTCAAATGAAAAGGAAACTAAAATGTGCCAAGTGACCTGGCCACAAAAAGGATAATGGTCCCACTGGACTCCAGAGGAGGTTTTCCCTATGAGGCTATGTAGGGAAAGACAATGTTTGCCTAGGATTACGCAGCTCTGGAAAAAACCCCAGCAGGCAGCACAGAAGTGCTCTCGTGCCGTTGTGAGCTGGATGTTTGCCAGAGACTGCTGAGCTGCTGTCCCAGAGCTCAGGGGTGGCTGCACTGAGGGCTCTGTGCCACCCACAGCACTCAGCCTGCCTCCCCACAGCCGCAGGGCTGGAATTCATCCGGCCCAGTCCCTGGAGATGCTGCCCAGGACCGTGTCCCGTGGGCCATGAGACTCCACAGCCTCTCTGGACAGCCTGCTTCAGAGTGCAATAAAGCTTTATCTGGTGTTTAATTAGAATTTCTTGTTGTCTCTTGTCCTGTTAGTGGCCACCACTGAGAGTTGGGCTGCATCTACTTTGCTCCACACACATTGGTAAGAATCCTCTGAGCCCTCTCCATCCTGAACTGTACCAGCATCTCCTCCCTGGAAAAATGCTACTGTCTCTTTTTCATCTCCATGGCCCTTTGCTGGACTGTCTCAGTATGTCCATACATCTCTAATCCTGGGGAGTCCAGAACTGGACTCAGCTCTTGAGGAACAGACTCGCCAATGCTTAGTACAGGGGAAGGGTCCCCTCCTTCAACCTGCTGTCAATGTTCCTCCTCATGCAGCCCAGGAGCCTGATGGAATTTTGGTGGCAAGGGAATATTGCTGCTCATGTCCAGCCTGGTGCCCACCAGGAGCCCCAGGTCCTGCTGGTCAGCACTGCCATGTACTGATGCCTGGGGATGTTCCTTCACAGGGTCAGGACTTGGCACTTCTTTTTGAGCTTCATGAGGTTCTCCATCCTGATGAGGTCTCCATGGATTTCACACAGGCCAAAAGTGATAAGACAAGAGGGAACAGCTTTAAACTGAAAAAAAAACAAAAAAAAAAAAAGGGAGATTAAATATTAGCAAGAAATTCTTCTCTGTGAGGGTAGTGAGACCCTGGAGCAGCTTGCTTCCAGGGAGAAGCAGTGGCTGCCCCCTCCCTGGAAGTGCCCAAGGCCAGGTTGGACAGGACTTGGAGCAGCCTGGGACAGTGGAAAGTGTCCCTGCCCATGGCAGGGGGGACAGACCTGTGTGGGTTTTAAGGTCTCTTTCATCCCAAAACATTCCATGATTCTATGATGGCAGCATGTCCCTCTCACGTGACAAGCCACCCTCCCAGCTGTGTGTATTCACCTGCCAGCTCGCTGAGGGTGACCTTTGTCCCATCGGCCAGGACAAACATATTAAGGACTAGCCAGTGTCGATCCCTGGGTTTCCCTGCTGCTGACTGGCTCCAGCTTTGTGCAATAGATCACAACCCTCCAAGGACAGTGTCGAGCCCATTCTCAGCCTCTCTCACTGCTGCTTCACTAATCCACCCGTTATCACTTTGCCCTTAGCAGTCACAGGCATCCCAAAGGGCAGGATTTCACCTGAGAGCAGGGAGTTCCCTAGCAGAAGGGGTTTGTCACTCCTGAGACATTTTGCCAGCCTCAGCCACTCCGTCCAAGAGATGCATTGGGTAGAAGACGGATTTCCTGGCTAAAGAGGTGAGATGAAAGTGGGGGACAACCAGCCTGACGTGGGAGAGACCAAGTCTCAGCAGGCCAACAGCTCAGGGCAGCTGCCTGGGGAGCAGGAAGAGGGCTAACCTGGGCTTCTGATCTCCTGCCACATTCTGTCACCCCCCACTGCAGAGAGGCTACTCAGGCCTCTCTGGTTGTGTTCCTGAGCCTGGATTTTCTCTCCCAGAACTCTAAACCCCCTGCTTGGCTACCCTGGAGCTGCACATGAGAGCAATGGAGGCACTGTCCTTCACCAGCTGGCTTGTCTCCCTGGCAGGGACTGAAAGGAGAAGCTTGGAGGTTCCTTAGACTGGTCTGCTCCTTCCCATGCTTATTCCATGGGGAGGGTTGGTTTTGCATCCCTCCTTTCCCTCTGGTCCTGCATGACATCCCTGGTGCTGCTGGTTGTGGCACATCCTCATCCTGGCAGGGACCTTACCAGAGAGGCCAAGGATGTGCTTTTAGAGGGAGCAAAGTCTCTTTAAGTCCTGACAAGGATATCAGGGAAGGTGGTGGATTTTGCCAGAAGCAAGTCTGGCACGATCAGCTCTTTGCTCCCTTGGCAAGTCTGATCAGCTCGGCACAGAACAAGAAGTGGCTCCAGCCTGCGGCTGAATTGCTGCTGAAAAAACCCCAAATTATGGCTTATTGCCACGGAAATAATTCATTCAGAAACCAACAGTGGGAGTTTTATGTTCCTCTGTTCCTGCAAGTCACATTCGGGTGTGACAAACGCCAGCGCCGAACGGAGCAGTGACAAAGGCTGTGGCTGCAGAAAGGCGCCCTGTGGCTGGCACCACCCCGTCACCAGCAGGTGACAGCTTTGCTCATGGCAACTTCGCACCTTCTGCTCACCAGCTGCTGCCTGCAAGGCACCAGCCATGAGGCTGATGATGTGCATGGGGCACAGAGGGATGGGGAGGTGTGGTGGCTGCCATGGGACCTGCAGCTCTGTCTCTCACCTGGAAGCTCTGAGAGGAAAGAAAGCACAACGGAATGTGAGGAGGAGGAGGAGGAGGAGGTTATGTCACCAGCGGGTGCCTCAGAGCCGCTCTGTCAGCTGGAATGTCGCTGCCCGGAATGCCGGGAAGGCTCCGGGACAGGGGCAGCTCCTGCCCTCGCCGTGCCCCCGCCCCAGGGCTCTGCTGTGGGTCACCGGCTGCCACCCTGGAGCTCGGCACGGCCGGCCCAAACCAGCCGCCCTTGCTGACCTCTGGGCCCAGCTTCTGGTTTCTGGTTTCGGTTTTCTGCTCTGTCCACTGGTTTTCGCTTCTCTGGCAAATCCCAGAGCTCTCAGCTATTGCAGTTCCTGCAGTTTAAGTGTCATTAGCTGACCCCTCCCAAGTTTCCTTTATTATTCCTGGAAAAAAGCCATTGTTTACCACTTTTGCCTCACTCGACTGGGGTATGAGGTTTGTTTTGGTGCAAGCAGGGTAGAAATAGAAAGCTAAAATTATTCAAAGGAGAAACGTGTAGGAAAGGCTGTCATGGGGCTGCTGAGTCTTCACCCTGGGGTATAAACAGTGACAAGAATTAGCCCAGAAGCTTTCAAACTCCTTCAAGCTGCCCTGAAATCCTGCCCTTGCCTAGAGACACAGGTCACAAAGCCAAGAAGCCAGGGCAGGGGAATGGGGGTACTTTTCCCATGGGTGATAGTGAGGGCTCTCCCCTGGGGCACAGCTCACCCGTGGGGGCTGCACTATCCCAGCCCTGGCACTGAAGGACCTTGGAGCACAGGAAGGATTATTATTCCACTCCTGTTACTTCCTGTAGCCTTTTCTCTCTTTCTGTAGGTCCACAAGTGGATGCAAGCTCTGGGGAGGGGGATGATCCATTTGGGAGATGCTGGTGGCTTCAGCTGGGGCAGAGGTGAGGTGTCAAAGGGGGTCAAAGGACTGTCCCTCAGGTGATCCCTGACTGAGCCCAGGTCCCTCTACTCCCACTCACAGACTGACCCACCAAGCCCCAAGGAGTGGCTGCACATCCCTGCGTGGTGCCCATGGGATGCAGGAACCCTGGGGCAATGGAGGGATGGGGATGCTGTGGCTGTGGAGGTGCTGGGGGGATGCAGGAGAGGCCGTGGGGGTTGTGGAAGGATGCAGGGGCCCACAGGGGGAGGCTGCAGGGCCATGAAGGGATGCAGGAGAGGCTGTGGAGCTGCAGCACAATCAGTAAGCAGTGCCAAAACTCCCCAAACCCTCCCCTCTCTCCCAGGGATGCGGGTGCCAGGCACATCCCATGCCAGCTGGGCCAGCTGGACAATATCCCCTTTGAAGGGCACCAACCCAGCTGGGGTGGAAAAACCCTCCATATTAGGGAGGATAGGACCTGCACTTCAGAGAAACACTGCTGAGCGCCCCTACCATCAAACAGCCCACACGTGGGAAGTGGTTTGACAGCTCTGAGTGAATCGTGATGCCAGTAAAGAGCAGGGCCTGAGCACGGCTGCTCACTGGCAGCTGCAGAGCTCACACCTCGCTGTGGGACTGGGGCTCACAGCTCCCCACAGTGACACAGCCCTGCCAGGACCCTGCAGAGGGCGGCCAGCACCGGGCAAGGGAGGCCAGGGGCCATCAGTCCCCAGCCCTGGGGGGGTTTAACAGATGTGTGGATGTGGCACTGGGGACCTGCATTACTGGTGGCTCTGGTAATGCTTGGAGGATGGTTGGACTCAATGACCTCAGAGGGCTTTTACAGCCTAAATGATTCCATGATTCTATGATCAGGGATGTCCTCCAGCTGCAGCAACAGCCCTGACACAAGTTTGAAGGTTATCCCTGCTCTTAGGGGAGGTTGTGGTTATAACCTGTGGGGATCAGCCAGACATCCCTGGGGCCACCTTCACCCATCCCACCCAAAAATGCCTAGAATGCTGCACAGCAGGAGCAACAATGAAAATGAAAACTATTTGTGTCTTGTTTATTTTTATTTTTCCTTGCATATAACAAGCAGGCAAGGCCCACTGGGTTCATCAAAAGTGGGTTTGGCATTCATAGAATCAAAGAGTGGTTTGAGTTGGAAGGGACCTTAAAGAGCACCTTGTTCCACCCCAGGCACCCCTCCCACTGTCCCAGGTGCTCCCAACGTCCAGCCTGGCCTTGGGCACTGCCAGGGATCCAGGGGCAGCCACAGCTGCTCTGGGCACCCTGTGCCAGGGCCTGCCCACCCTCACAAAGAAGAATTCCTTCCTCATATCCATTCTAACTCTACCATTTTCTAGCTTCCATCCCAGCAGAGCTCTGAATTTTCAGCCAGGCCCTCTCTGCTTTTTTCTGGGGGACTCAACAATGATCTGAGCAAGGTGGGCAGAGGATGCAGCCCCAGCAGAGACACTTTTTCTGCTCATCCCAGACATTTGGGGTTTGAGGGATGCTGAAGGGGGTGTGTTGGGTATGTCCCAGCCCCTGGAGCCAGCAGTCAGGGTGAACCAGGGACACAGCCCCACAGTCACCTCCCTAAGGCTCAAAAATTGCAAAACCTCCGGTTTTCCCTGTTTATTTCTTTTCTTTTCATGCCAAGAATGGAGAGGGTTGTGGAGCAAAGACCTTTTTTTTATTTCACCTTAATTTTCTTTGAAATACTGTACAGTTCATCTTCTTTGGTTTGCTCTGCTTCAAAAGAAAGGCCAGGAAAAATCAGAGGCATCAGCCATTAGAAAGCAGAGTATTCCTGTCACAGACATTTTTTCACAGAAATCCTTTCTTTGGGATTTGTGCATCTTCTGGGAAGCTGAGGCCCCAGAAGAAGAATGTAAACAATTGTTATCAGCTGCTGTGGAATGCAATAGGATGCACCTGTGATTGGTTCATGTTCCATGTGTACAATTAAGGGCCAATCACAGGAGCAAGCTCGGGGAAAGATTCCCTGGACACAGACCTTTGCTTTAGATTCTTTTCTATGCTATTCTTAGCTTAGCAGCTCTGCAACTTCTCTCTTTATTCTTTTTAGTATAGTTATAATGTATTTTATATCATATATCAATAAATCCAGCCTTCTGATCATGAAACAAGATTCTCATCCTTCTCTCACCCTGGAGACCTCCTCAGGTCGCTGTAATATATTCCCTAGAATATTTTATTTTGTAAAATGCCTTTGTTGGAGTAAGAATGGGACCTTTACAAGATACACATTTCTTTTCAGCTATGACCAGCTTCCTGTCCTGACATGACTTAGGGGAAACCAAGTGTTTTCTGTGCACCAGCCAGAGGTGAGCAGCCGAGGCGGCTCCCCTGGAGCCCCCACACTGGAGACAGATGCTCCCCAGGCACTCCCACAGGCACAGCCCCTTACTGCAGTCAGTTCCAGGATGTGACATCATCTGAAAAATTCCAACATTTCTCCAGCAGTGTCAAGGATGGCGGGGGTGAAATTTCTGGATGCTGGTGGAATGCCATCAGTGCTGGAGCTGGAGCAGGGCAGGATGGAGCTGCTGCAGGGGCTGGTGGACCTTGGCTTAGGGGCAATTTCTGAACTCAGGACATCTTTAATGACTTCCTTTTCTGAGTGAATCCCAATTCCTCAGCATTAAACCCTGCTATAAATAGCAACTTACATCACCCAGTCTCACCAGTTTTTTTCCAGGTTCTCCTTTCATTCAAGACAGAGAATTTCCCTATTTCTGACAGAACTTATTTTGGGCATTTGCTTTACTTAGCACTTTCTCCTGGGATTTTTTGGGGGACTTGTAGAAAACCTCAATCATATCCCTCTGTAAAACAGGGCAACATCAACCAGACTCCTCCAGATGGCAGATCCCACTGACTCCAAGCACTGCCTGCTGGGTCAGGAATTCTGAAACCACTTCATGGGAAAATTCCTCATTACACCACCACTTTGCTGTGTAATTAAATTAATCCCCCCAGAGATGCTCCAGCCCATTTTTCCCCACTCTTCCATGGCCATCTTCATGTCTCAAGGCAACTTCCAGGGAAGATGGTTCCTCATCTGAGACACACTCAACCTCCCTTCCTAAAAGGGGTAAGAGCTGGAAGAGATGACTTTCTCTTTTCATCATCATTGGAATGTGGGAAATGGGTAAGAAAACATTTTTTAGGAGGATGTTGCATCCCAGGCATCACTGGCATGACTGTAACCTCCCACCTCCATCCAGCTGGCCATGAGCTGGCAGAGCAGGATCTTTTATCAGATTTCTAAGGAAGAATTAGATTCCTAGAAACCAAGCAATTTGGCTTTGGGGTTATTTTTGGCTCTCAGCAGTAGAAAAGTTTCAGCCCTTCCCAGTCCCCTATAAGACACATTACCTAAACTAAGCTGATCCTAAACTGACTTAGGAATTTTTTTGCTTTTATTAATTTCAAAATAGCCCCTGAGAGTCTAAAATAATTGGTATGTGCTTGCTGACAAAGGGATTAAGGCACAGAGGTGTCCAGCTGCCTGAAAGGAAAACTCTCTCATTGAAAACATTAGAATATTCAAATCAGATCCCAAACTAATTCTTCTGTTTTCATGAAACTCATATTTTATTAGAACATTCTCCACATTTTGGCACTGTGCACCTCAGGGAGCGCTTGGCTGGAGGCTCCGGATCTCCAGGAGCAGCCCACAGATGCTTGAGGGCACAGTCAGAGGGGACAGCTCAGAGGCAAACCACGCTCCTACATCCATGTACGAGTTCTGTTCCCTGAGCAGCCAGACAGGATCCAGGGGAGCTGATGCTCCCTCCCTCCTGGCCCAGCTGGGTCCCTCGGAACACCAGGGTCCCACCTCCTGCCTGGCTGGGCACCCTGCATGTGGAGGCAGACTCTCCTCTTCCTCCCAGGATGTTTGGAGACAAGCAAGATGACAAACAGAGTGAGGCAATGGGATATAGACTGATGAGTGAGCCTGCAAGGTGCCTCTCTGCAAAGGGAAATGTGGAAATGGGCCAGATCAGCTATGGAAGGGGATGTTCAGCTTGGCAAGAGCCATATCTGCTTCATGGGGTAGATCTGCCCTCCCCAGCCTGACTGAGAGACACAGCTCCGAGCAGGAGCCTCCCTGAGGCTGGGGACAAGTCTGGCGCATCTCCTGTGCCTGGTCCTCTGGAGCCCTCCCTGTCCACCTGGAGCACGGAGCTAACTCAGCACGGCTGGTGGAGAGCTGAAGGATATTGAGAAAACACCAGGTTATTTACAGAAAGTTCCTGGGGCAGTAACTGGAAACCTTTAATAGAAAGAGGATGAGTCAGTACCCAGCGCTGCTGGGGGGAGTGCAGAGGTGCCAGGGTGAGGTTGGATTGCTCCATTTACATTATAAACCTTCCACTGTTATTTAGGAAGTGTCTATCAAAACAGCACCACCCCAAATCACAAAATGGAGACCTTCCCCAGGAATGTCTGCTTTCCTCTAGAGAACAGGAAATCCTTCTGAGAACATCTCACTACAGCTGGACAGCCCTCAGCTCTTCCCAGAGCACTCATGGCCTCCCTGCCCAGCCTTCCCTCTCCTCCTCAGGAGTCTGTCAGAGCTCCATGGCTCTCTGTGTGGAGGCTGCTGGCTTCTTCCCAGTGACCCATCCCTGTCTCAGCCCTTGCCCAGCCTTCACAGAGCTGCTCCTCTCTCTGACACACTGTACTGCTTCTCCAGTCTGTGGTCATTTTCCCTCATCAGCTCAGACAGGATAACCTTTTCTTCCCACCATCCTGGTTTCTGTCCATGCTCTCACCACACAGTTAATCTGCTCTTCTTTTTCACAATCACCGTTTCCTTCCTCACCCTGCTCCTGGAACTCTTTCTGCCTCATCTTCAGGGTTACAAATATCCACACTTCTTCCAGCTCTCTGCATCCCCAGACTACCAGTAACTCTTGAAATGTAACTGTATAATCTTTATTTTAAAAAAGCAACGGTTTGATTAAATTGCAATTTAATGTCTCCTTATAGGACCTGGGGTACATCAGGCAGTTCCAGGAGATAACAAGTAGCCCATCTCAGCACTCCTTTCCTTTAAATTAAGGAGGAAACTTGAGAGTTTCAGCTTCTCAGATTCCTCTTTCATGCCCACCACCCCCTATGCCAGTGCCTGCAGTGCTGTCACAGCTGCAGGACATGCCCTGAGGCACCTCCAGCCATGGCAGCACCTGCAGGACACTGGTGACAGCTCCCACCTCCTGCTCCTGGGACACCAGGGGCTTTGCAAATATGGGAGAATCCTTGGTAAAGGAGACTTCAGTCTCTTTCTCCCTAACCAGCCTCATCCCACTAATGCTTCTGGGCCCTCCAGCACAGTTCTTTCATGGATACACTCTCTCCTCCAAGCTGCCAGGAAGGTTGGGTAACAGGAGACTTAACAAATGCAGGAACCTCCACAGAGGAACTTCTTACTAAGGGACAGGCATGAGAGAAGCAGAAATAGCCACAGTGACTGTTTCATATCCTGTGTCACTGGGGAGGCACTGAATCGAGCAGGGAGCTTCACTCTTCCGGAGCTGGGGCTGCCCTGTTCCATCACGGGACTGCAGCACAAGTGGACTCTGGTGGAAATTCCACCATGCCTACGCAAGCTCTGCACACGCCTCTCGCTCCATAAATTGAGGGGCTGCTGATGGTCTCAGCATCAGACAGCAAAGAGGCTTCCAAGCTACCCTTGCCTGCTCCAGCTCCGGCCACCACTTCTCCAGCAACATGAAGGTGTTTGTGGTTGCCCTCACCATCCTCATCGTTGCCTTCTGCTGCCAGACCTCTGCTGCTCCACGTAAGTCCAGGGTCTTCTCACCTTCCCTAAGTGGGGACAGGAGAGATGTCCTGCTGGGACAGCCCCTTCTGATAGCAATTCCACTCAGGGTCCCTCCCTCTGTCCCAGCATCTTCTGGCAGGTGCTCCAGGGTTATGGGACAAGAAGAGCTCAAAGACCATTAGCATAAAAGCTAAAGGTTTGCTACCCTTTTTAGGGTAAAAGCACAGCCATGCCCCCCACCCCTGCTACAGGGATCAAATGTGGGCACCCTGAGGAAGGCTAGGGCTGGCCAGGTTTGGGCTGGGAGGTGTTGCCTGGTGGCATGGGCTGTGTCAATGCCAGCTCCGGGTGAACCCAACAGGGAAATAACTGAAGGAAGAAGAAAAAAGACCCCATCTTTTCTCTTCCTCCTCCACATAATCCCTGCCCCCTAGACCCAGGGATGGGTAATCCCAGCTCCCTGCCTTGTCCCCCATCCCTTGCCGCTGCTCATGACTGTCTTTGCCCTTCACAGTTGGCTCCGACCCACCAACCTCCTGCTGCTTCTCCTACGTCTCGCGGCAGCTGCCCCGCACCTTTGTGAAGGATTACTACGAAACCAACAGCCAGTGCTCCCAGCCTGCTGTCGTGTGAGTCCCTCCTCCGGGGCAGGGTGGTTTGGGGCTGAGGAGCCAGGCAGGGAAAGGCCCTTTTCCAAAGACAGGGAAGGAAAGCTGGGATAGACAAGAAGAACAAGGTGATGCTTGGAGCACAAAAGCCATATGCTGCTCCTGCTCTACCCCTTTGCAGATAAAACTGGCGGCTGCCGGATAGGATGGGCAAGGCATGGAGCTGCTCATCTTTGGGAGAGGCAGGACTTGGGCAGGGCTCTTGTCCTGGCCCTGGAAGTATCCAAGGCCGGGTTGGATGGGCTTGAAACAACCTAGTGGAAGATGTCCGTGCCCATGGCAGGGGGTGGAACTGAATAAGCTTTAGGGTGCCTTCCAAAGCAAACCATTCCATAACTCTATGATCCTGTGATCCTCCATTCAGTGCTCTCCCACCAAAACCTGACCTCCTTGCGCCCCACAGGTTCATCACCAGGAAGGGCCGGGAGGTCTGTGCCAACCCCAGGGAGGACTGGGTCCAGCAGTACGTGAACGAGCTGGAGCTGGACTGAGCCCCTGCGCAGAGCCAGCTGCTCCACGTCCCCACTGCCGGGAGGGACAGGCGTCACCAGCTGGGGTCCACTGGAAGGGCTTCAATGTCACTTAGAGCTAGCTGAGAAACTGAAAACATTCCAAAACACAACTTAATGTTGTGCTATTTAATTTTTTTATAGGGGAGGGATCAGGTGCAATAACTCTGAGATAAAAAAAAAATTTATTTAATATGTTTTTGGTTGGTTTTTTTTTGCCTGTAGACTCAGATTATAATTTCTGTATTTAAGTAACTATATTTTTTACATAAAATTAAATTCAGATGCCAATAAATAAATATTTTTGTAAGAATCTTCTGTGTTTGCCTCTGTTACAATCCTTTGGGGTGACAATAGCTGAAATTAAAATAGTGACAGCAGCTTCTTTATTTCCTTTTCCACATTGTCAAAACTCCTACAAGCTTTCTGTGTCTGAACATCTTATTTTGCAAAATAGTAACAAGAAAAGCCATGAAGGAGGAGTTGTGAGAAAGACAGGGATTACATTCAGGTAACTTGTCTTAAGCCTTCTCTAAGGTATTTAATTTCCATTCATTATGACAATTGGAAGCTCATTAAATTCCATTTCTGGCCCCATTACAATCAATCAATATATTACCTTTAGGGGCTGAAGTTTAACATATTGGCTGTTTTAGGGAAAGCTTTCTGAGAGCCACAGATAAAATGGACCAGTTATTTCCAGACACAAGGGTGGAAAAAATATGTTTCACTGCAAGAATTTTAGAATTATTTCATTAAGCTCTCATTTATCTGGGACATGAAGCTTGGCAAATATTCCCTTAGTAATACTTTGACTCCAAAACCTTCTCATCTCTGGAGATGCCTGTCCAGAGATGACCATGGCAGACCCCAGCCCAGGGCAGGACCTGCCCCTGCAAGGAAACATCTCCCCTGGTGCCCCCCTGGAGCTGAAGGAAATGGAGCTCCCCTCAGTGAAGGTATTTCCCACGTCCTTAATGGCATTTCCCACACCACTGATGGTGTTTGGGACGCTCTGATCAGCTCTGGACAGGATCTGCTGGATCAGCAAAGAGTATTTGAGTTCCTCCTGCCTGGATCTCTGGTGCACTCCACGGAACAATGCTCAGTTTAACACACTGTGTTCCCATGCTGGATTTGGGGTTTCAAACACGAACACCAGTGGGACACAGGCCAGCAGGGCAGAGGCAGCCCTGGGGAGGGGGACCTTGATCAGAGGGTGGGTGGTGAGCAGAGAGAGGAGGATCGGGGGGGGCTGAGGGATCAGGGGGCCATGGGTGTGTCTGAGGGAGGAAGGAACACATCACTCCTCACTCGGGGAGCTGCAGCCCCCGGCTCCTCAGCCCACGGGGCCCTGTGGATCCCATCTGTCATCCCACCCCAGTGCTGACAGCATCCAGCTTAAAATAGCACCCTGACAGGAGGGAAGTGAGGTAGAGAGCAGGACCAGAGCCCCCTTCCCTGAGACGCTGCTGGGAGAGCAGGGAGCCCATGGCTGGGAGGTTTAGACGGACATTGCCACCAGCATGTGAAGGGGCTGGCTTTGGTGAAAGCCTGCACTCACCAGACCCTGCACACCCCAGGCAGGCTCATCTTGGCCACTGAGTACCAGCCACCCTGGGTGCTGCTGGATAGATTCACCCTGAGGACTGAGATTGGCACAAAGCCTAGTGCCCAGAGCTGCCCTCATCCAGGGAACAGCAGGAACAGGAGACAAGAGGGGGAAGAGCTGTGATGGGATTATCCAAAATCACTTGAGCCTCCACAGTCCCTCTTGGACACAAGCCCTGCCTGCCTCTGTGGCACTGGGGGCAGTCCCACAGCCCCAGGTTCCTCGGGGAAGGGCACAGGGTGATGCAGTGAGTGCCATCCAGCCGGGCAATGCGGCACACAGGCTGTCTGCCTTGGGCAGTGTCCCAAAGCACCCAGGGCCATTCCAGCCTCCCACAGCCCTCCCCCTCCACCCCGGGGTACCTCAGCTGGCTCCTCACTGCTGTTCTGGGAGCCTGCAGGAGCCCAGAATTACTCATGCCTTTCTTGCTCTTGCACCCGCCTGCGTGTGACAGCTCAGAAAAGCGTGAGGAGCTGCAGCTGCACACCCCCAGCAGAGAGGTGAGAATGAGCACCTTCTGCAGAGCATGAGGAGTGGCTCAGGAGCAGCAAGGGCTGCACTACCCATGGCACCATCAGCTTAGATCCTCACCCAGGGGTCACCCTGCCATGGGCCCCGGATGTATTTGTGGTTGTGCAGCTGCTTGAGGCTGATTTTGCTGCTAGAGCTGAAGCATGCAGGGGCACCCTCACACCATGCAATCCTTGGGTCACAGAATCATGGAATCATAAAATCACGGAATAGCTTCAGTTTGAAGGGACCTCAAAGCTCATCCTGTGTCACCCCCTGCCATGGGCAGGGACACCTTCTGTCATTGCAGGCCCCCAGCCTGGTTAATAATTAGCATTGAGTCCATGATTCACAGAAGGCTGATCAATCACTTTATTAAACTATACTCATTAAGAAACCCATTGCTTTTATAGACAGTTACAATGCAGGTGGACCCAACTGGTCCTTCAAACACCATCACCATTGGCCAATCAAGAAACCACCCTTTGGTAGACAAACCTCCATAACACATTCCACATGTTCACAACAACAGGGGCAGCAAGTGAAGATAAGAATTATTTATCATTCTTTTCTCTGATCTTCCCACAGCCTTTCCCAGCACAATGCCTGGGCCAGCTGTGCTGCTCTCTGTGGCCACAGAGCTGCTGCCACAGCCTTCCACTATCCCAGCTTGCTTCAAGCCCCATCCAGCCTGGCCTTGGACCCTGCCAGGGCTGGGGCAGCAAAGCTGCTCTGGGCACCCTGTGCCAGGGCCTGCCCACCCTCATGGTAAAGAGCTTTGTCTCCCCAGGAAGTTCATGCCCGGGGCTCAGGCAATTGTGGTGCTCATCCCTCCCATGAACACTCTCATGGGGTGCTCAAGCAGGTGGACACCTGAATCACAGAACATGCTGAACTGGAAGGGATCCTTAAGCTTAACAGATGAAGAGAAAAGTGGAGTTGGGACCAAGAGGACGGTGGTTTTCTGCAGAACTTTCTCTGGATTCAGATCAAAACAAGAACAATGTTGTTAAAGGGGTTTGGAATTTGTAAACTATCCATCCTGAAATCAGAGTGTGGAATTTACTGAATGTTTTGTACAATGTATATAAAAATAATTCTCTTTTTTTGGTTTTGTGGAGGTTGGTTTGTTTGGTAAAGTTCTTTTTTGTTGGTCTTTTTTTTTTTTTTTTTTGACAAAAGTCCTGGGCAAGCCTAGCTGTGAACAAAAATTCAATCATTACTATGATAAGAATATTATTATTATATGTGCATATGTCTCCATATTTGCTGTTTACGTCACTCTAGTGTGTCTGTAGGCATTTTGAGCCACACCAAATACCAGAGGAATTGGAGGCTGGAGTCCAGATTCTCACAGAAGGAGGAGCAGGGCTGTGCTGATGGGGTGTGGATTGAAGCCAGTCAATGTTCATGGTCTGAGCTTTTACATCTCCACTTTTCAGAGAGGAATTAGACACTCTGAAGGCAAAATGCATCCAGAAGTGCCAATTCTGTACCTTCCTCCCCATCCCCAGGGCCCTGGTTTGCCACAGGGACGGGAGGCTCAGTCTCCAGAACAGCTCTTCCCAGAGACACCCTGAGCAGGGGGTGTGCCACTTCTGAGGCACCAGAATCCAAAAATGTAATGTAAAAGGGGATGGGTTTGTAAGCTGCATACAAAAGTAGTGTTCCTAAAGTGGTGCAATATCCCAGACTCCCAGGGCTAAGGAAGACACTTAAGTATTACAGAAGAAATTGTGCCTGGCTGTTGCCTTCCCTGTGATGGGTGACAAAAGGCAGAAGTGGCCAGGAAAACCCAAAAGAACATTTCTGCTGAGTTCTTAGAAAGACGCAGACGATGACTCACATCCCTCTGAGATGATGAAGCATTTTCTTCTAGAAGAGAAGGGTGCAACATTTTTAAGAAAGCACATTTCTAAATCTGCAGGTCTGTTAACTGTGCTGAATCATAACAAGGGACACTGCCAGTGCCTGGGAGTGAGGAAACTGCCCCGGGAGCCAATGCCTAAAGTGCTACTTTAATCTACCGATTGCTCAGAAAAACAGTAACACCCAATCCATGGTCCCTCTGCCGGGTTTGGTATCTCAAGGGATTCCTGCCTTCAGCCAAACCACACCCCTTGAGCAGAACAGTCCTTGGCTGGGGTAATGGATGGACTCCATGACCTTAGAGGTGTTTCCCAACCTGAACAATTCCATGATTCTGTGATTCTCTGCTGTGCTGTGCAGCCATTCCCTCCGGACGAGGCTGAGCAGGATCTGGCCCTTGCAGGACAAGGTCTGTGTGGAGGCCACAGCCAGACATCAATGCACTGCCATCGAGGACAGGGACAAACTCCACTTGCCATGGCTCAGAGAGAAATCCTGCTTGCAAATCACCCCAGGATCAGTTTCAGGGAGCAGGGAGCTCCCAAGCAGTTCCTTAGAAGCACGTGATGCAGAGTCCACCAGATGGACAATCTGGGCGCCTACTCAGAACTAGCTCATACCTTTGACCTCCACTGTCCTTCTCGGGGGAGGCAGATTCATGATTGCTAGAAACACTTTGGATGCTGCATTGGGGTGAGCTCACATCCTTTCTACTCATTCATTTCTTCCCCTGCTTGCAAGATCTCTGAATTGTTGCACTTCCTTCTGCTCCTTCTGGAAACTCTTTACCCACCCAGGCCTGCAGCAAGTGCCACTTGTCCATCCCCTGCCAGGATCAGGTTGCTCTGGACAGTTTCTATTCCATCACCTCCTCCCACTCCTGGTTCAGTGACATTTACCCTGGTTCCTTCCCTGCACAACAGCTTTCTGTGGCTGTCCTCACCACTCCCTCCACCAACTGCCTCTGCTTTCAGCTCTTTGTTAAGGCCTT